TATCAGTGACGTCGGAGATCGGTAAAGGTTTAGGGCTCCAGAGGTCGTGCCACCGTTTGGTGTTATGGTCGACAATGTCCATGGGGTGAAAGAGGGTCTTACCGCCAACCGAAAGCTCGTCGGGAACAAGGGGGAACCTTCTTGAGGGATTGATGCAAAATTCCAGGAGCCTCCGAAGTAGTAATCCAGTCACGCAATTCCCGAAGAGAAGAGTAAAGAGCTCGACGTCGAGCTCGCCTTGAAACTCGCTTGGCTGCCTGAGCTAGTCGCTCTATGGAGCCGTCAGAAAGGAAAGCTATACGCTGTAACTTGGCCTGCCAAATACTCCAAGCTGCGGTCCCAGACTGGCTGTCCGCGTCTGCTGACTGAGTGAGAGGAACATATGCGCCCCTGGAGGCTGATCGCCCGCGAGCGCAGCACAAGCTTGAGCTAACTGCACCTGCTGCGCAGCCCCGTTGCCTCGAGTGCGGTGCTTGCTAAGGGAGGATCGAACAGTAGAGAGGCGCCCCCGCCAGCTCGCCACGACGTCGCGTAGAGGTAGATCCCGAGCCCTGTCAGGAGCTTTCACTTCACCCGCCCGAAAGAAAGGCCCCTGAGCTCTCGTAGTACCTCCAAAACTCGATACGCCATGCTGCGTGGTGAGCACCCGCTCGACCGTAGAGACCCAGGACGCACAGAGGGCTCCGAGACGACGGCCGCGCTGGCCCCCCGGCGGCGTACGCCACAGAATCACGAAGGACTGGCCATACCTCGTGCCCGTCATCCGAGTGCGTGTGCCCAGTCTGGCCCCTGCACGTGTCCCAGAGCTCAGAGGAGATGGAGAACGAGGGGAGATCTGACGAACTTACCGTTGCCGAGGGGGGGGGGTCGGGGGCAAGGTCCCCCACCGTCCCTAGGACCTGCTTTTCGGTCAGGCTCGATTCAGACAGAGGCTCGTGAGCTATAGGCACCTTGGCCCTCGCACTGCTGGGGTCATCGGCGCCAGCCGCGTCATCGAAAAAGCCAGGTGAAATTAAATCAACGTCGTCGTCAGATTCTCCGTCCGAAAGACTGCCGTCCAGCTCGAAACTGGCCCGCTCTGGATCGGCAGTGAGGTCCCCAAACAGGGCCTCGGACGCTTCTGGAAATCTCAACTTCTGTGACTTTTTGGCTGCGGCACGCCGAAGCTTAGCAGCGCTGGACTTAGATCCAGGCGTCGGGGCGACACCTGGTCGTGGGAGCTGCGGCAGACGTGCTGGCGTGACCAGCTCCCTGCACAAAAGTTGAGCACCTGAACTACGAAGCCTGAGCAGATCTGCACTACACCTTAGGCGATGCTTAAGAAAACCCAAGTTTTCGGCCAGAGTCTCGATTATTCTTAACGTTTCAATGTAAACCTTAAGATTTTGATAGGAATGTTGGGTCTTTACTCAAGTTCTGAGACTATGAATTTCTTAACCCATGATTTCTTAAGCATTTCGCGGGGTGTATGCGGCTTCCATGGTACTGACAAAATGGGAGAGACGCTGACAGAGTACGGCACACACGAGTGACCAGCAATGACATCGTCGAGCATGACGCCTTTCCCCGACTCGCACGTCGTCAGCGCCCCAACCGGTTTGAAGATAACCCCGTCAACCTTCTCGAGGAGGAGGAGTAGGAGGAGGAGGAGGAGGAGGAGGACGAGAAGGAGCTTTAAGTGACATGAATTAGGGGCGCCTTAACGCCGATGGTGGGACCAGGGGCCTGGTGTACCACCATGGTGTACCACTCGACGACATGGCAACCATGGATCAAACGATGGGATTGTTGGAGAGCTTCCCAGACCCCCCCCCACTGGCTTTGTCCAAGCATCATGTCCTGTCGAATGCGACGGCTTAGCTTGAACCTCGGGCCCGACGGGACAGCGTAGCCAGGGGGTGTCAAATCCGAAGGACCTTTGCTCAACCCTAACCGTGGGGAAGACTGAGGAGATCCCTCTGGTCTTTCCTGCCGCCGCCGCAGCTGGGCCCGTTTGGAGTCCAGTCGGATCTCCTCAGTGGGCTCGGGGCGTGGTCAGGAGGATAGGGAGGAGGATGAGGAGGAGAAGGAGGAGGAGGAGGAGAAGGAGGAGGCGAGGGAGGAGGAGGGATTGGGGCATGAGAGGAGGCGGAGGAGGAGGAGGAGGAGGAGGAGGAGGAGGAAGAGAAGGAGGAGGAGGAGGAGGAGGACCAGGGTAAATCCAAGAGTCAGCAACGATGGTGTAATTAGCCCTCCCTCCAGGCTCCCTCTTCATAGGCCCCTACAATGGTTCATTTTCATTGGGGGAACTGCCCCGTTGGAAGACAACCGGTTGAAGACACTGAAGCGTGCCAAAACATTGGTCGGGATTTCAACGCCACGTATCAACCTGACTGTTGCGTCTTGACGATCGCGAATCGTGCCAGAAAGCCATTCTTGGGAGTGCAACACCGCGAGTGAACGTAACTGTTGCACCCTCATAATCCTGAATCCTTCCAACAACATGTCTGGTACGTTGTTCATGGGAATCCGTGAAACTCTGGCATAACGCAACGAATGCGCGCGGCGCTAAGGCGGGAACCACCTTTTGAAAAGGAACCGCCTTCAATCCGTGAAACTCTTGCAATTTGTTTAACGAATGTGCGCGGCGCTAAGGCGGGAGCCACATTCTGAAGATTAGTTCCCCTCAATCCGTGAAACTCTTACACATGTTTTAGACGAATGCGCGCGGCGCTAAGGCGAGAGCCACACTTAGAAAACCACCCGCCCTCGATCCATCAAACTCTTGCAAATGGTTAAACCGAGTGTGCGCGGTGCTCAGGCGAGAGCCACATTTCGGAAAACAAAAAACGCCCTCCATGTGTGAAGCTGCTGCCAATTCGGAAGCTTCACGGTCATAAGTGGTGCGGGACTCAGGCGAAACGCCCGGCCCGCCCTAAAAACTGGCCTCGGGGTGCGACAGGGAGAAGTTGTTCATAAGGAAAAGGAGTGGACGAGGAGGAGGAGGAGGAGGGAGGAGGAGGGAGGAGGAGGGAGGAGGAGGAGGAGGAGGAGGAGGAGGGAGGAGGAGGGAGGAGGAGGAGGAGGAGGAGGAGGAGGAGGAGGAGAAGGACCAGTGGAAACTGAAGGGTCATCAACGATGTTGGAATGAACCCTCCCTCCAGGCTCCCTCTTCATAGGCCCCTTCAACGGTTCAGATCCATTGAGGGAATTGCCTCGTTGGAAGACGAAGACAACAGTTTGAACATCCTGAAGCGTGCCAAAACATTGCTCGGGATTTCCACGCCACGTATCAACCTGCTTGCTGCGTCTTGACGAGCCAGAATTGTGCCAGAACGCCGTTTTGGGGACTTCAACACAGCGAATCAACATAATTGCTTCGCCCGCATATTCTGAATCCTTCCAAAAACACACCTGCTAGTACGTTGTTCATGGGAACCCGGGCAACTCTTACACATGTTTTTTGAAACGAATGTGCGCGGCGCTAAGGCGAGAGCCACATTTTGAATAGGAACCGCCCTCAATTCGTGAAGCTCTTGCAGGTTTTTAAACGAATGCGCGCGGCGCTAAGGCGAGAGCCACATTTTGAAAACCACCCGCCCTTGATCCTTCAAACTCCTGCAACTGGTTAAAACGAATGTGCGCAGCGCTCAGGCGAGAGCCACCTTTTGAAAACCATGCGCCCTCAATCCGTGAAGCTGTTGCAAATGTTTAAAAAGGATGTGCGCGGCGCTAAGGAAGGAGCCAAATTTTGAAAAGGACCCGCCCTCAATCCGTGAAGCTCGTGCAAATGTTATAGACGAATGTGCGCGGCGCTAAGGCGAGAGCCACATTTTGAAAGCGACCCGCCCTCGATCCTTCAAACTCTTGCAAGCCGTTGAAACGAATGTGCGCAGCGCTCAGGCGAGAGCCACATTTTGAAAACCATGCGCCCTCAATCCGTGAATCTCTTGCAAATGTTTCAAGAGGATGTGCGCAGCGCTAAGGAGATAGCCACATTTTGAAAAGGACCCGCCCTCAATCCGTGAAGCATCTGCAATTGTTTAAAATTAATGTGCGCGGCGCTAAGGCGAGAGCCACATTTTGAAAGCTACCCGCCAATCCTTGAAACTCTTGCATTTTCACGAATGTGCGCGGCGCTAAGGCGAGAGCCACATTTTGAAAGCCACCCGCACTCCATGTGTTGCATTGTTGACATTTTTTCAGCTTCAGAGTCATACGTGGTGAGGAAGTCTGAGGCGAAACGCAGGGCCCGCCCTAAAAACTGGCTTTGGGGTGCGAGAGGAAGAAGTTATCTATAAGGGGAAGGAATGGAGGAGGAGAACCCCTTGGTCTCAACAGGAGGCTGGCCCTGGACGGAAACGGGCGGCGAGGCATGCCCTGGATTGCCTCGCTGCGGGGAGCCCCGGTGGAGCCACCGGGTTCGCCAAGTCTGCGGACTGGGGGGCAGGAGGAGGAGGGGGAGGATGGGGAGGATGGTGATGGGGGAGAGTGAGGCGGACGTCAGAGGAGGGAAAGGTACCCATACCGCTAGTTACCGTTCGCCCGTTTTCCAGCTCTTGGGCCTCCTGGGAGGTCCTCGTTGCCACCGCCGGATTCGCCTCGAAATTCTGGTCAGAACGCACCTCGGGAAGGTCCGGGGAGTGGCGGTATCGGTACTTTTTTGGTTTCCCCAGGACGGGGCCTTCGTCGAGCCAAGGGTGTTTCGAGGGTAAGGGTCCAGGACTTGGGGGCCTCCTTGGATGGTCCTGGGAAGGTGATGCGGTCAAGACGCTGAGATAAGGAACAGATTGGGTGCGGAAGGGGCTAGATGTTCCTTAGGACCTTCCATGGCTGTTCCTCCAGCCCTCCTCGTGGTCAAAGGCGGCTTTGGGGGCCTCAAAAGGGGCTTCGTTCCTCATGTGGCGTTCCCCACTTCCGCGGCCCGATTGTAAGAGGGGCCAGGGAAGGCATCCAGGCTCCAGGGAGGCCCCAGGACCCCGTGCGCCTGGGGTCCGCTTGGCTGGCTCACGGCAGAAGAGGCCGCCGCCCACGCCGCGCCCGCGGCCGCGGACGGCGCTGGCGACCTCGGGGCCCGAGACCGCTCCACGGCCCGTCGCTGTGCCCGAGCGTCTGGGCGTCGTGAAGGAGTCAGAGCGGGCCTTCTCGCCCCGTCGGGCCCCTTCTCCTCCCTCTCCTCCTCCTCTCTCCTCCTCCTCCTCCTCCTCCTCCTCCTCCTCCTCCTCCTCCTGCCTCCTCCTCCTCCTCCTCCCCTCCTCCTCATCCTCCTCCTCCTCCTCATCCTCCTCTCTCCTCCTCTTCCTCCTCCTCCTCCTCCTCCTCCTCCTCCTCCTCCTCCTCCTCCTCCTCCTCCTCCGTCCCCACGGGTCGATCCGGCTCGAGAGATCAGGTTTCAGCGTGGGGCTGGCGGCTCTGGTGGTGCTGGGGCACCGTGCCGTGCTTTCTCGTGCAGTTCTGGGAGCTCCGCCGCGGTTCACGACGCTGGATCTCGGGCGGCGTGGGAGGCGGGCGGCCTTCGCAGACCTCGCCGGCTTCGGCGCGCGGGCTGGGCGAGATTGAGCGGTGATGCCTTCGAGGTCTGGAGGGTGGCCCGCCTCCTGCCTGCAGCAAGTAGCACTGGGACGTCTGGCCCCGAGGTGATGGGCCTGTACCACAGCTGCACGAACGCGGTGGTGGAGGAGCTGCGACTCCGGTTTGACGTCCAGGTGCTGAACGACTGGACCCACAAGGGCGAGTGCTGGAAGCATCGCGCCCGCAGGGAGCGGCCCGCCGCGCTGGGCGCTAGCGGCGGGGGCGCGCCCGCGTTCTGCCTGCTGCTGGTGAAGGAGCCGCGCTTCTGGCTGCGCAGCCTCTCGCGGTGCGCGCGCAACTTCCACGCCGCACGCCCCGTCGAGCGCCTGGGCGGGGAGTGGAAGGAAGTTGGCAGTCCCGGGCTCCGGGAGCTCTTCGGGCCAGTGGAGCACGACGGCATCTGCCACCGCGACGCCCTGGACCTGTGGGCGGCCACGGTGGGGTCGTACTTCGACGACGAGGTGTACCCGCCGGAGAGCTCCCTGATCGTGAGATCCGAGGATTTCCTCTTCCGCTTCGAGGACGTGATGGACGTACTGGGGACCATCTTCGAGCCCGCGGCCGCCGCCCCCCCCGCACGCCCCATCGACGGCAGGGCCAAGGGGCACAAGGAGTCCCGCACCCGCGACGAGGCCCTGAGGTTCTACGCCAGGGAGGAGAACATGACCGCGGGCTTCGACCCGGACCTGCTCCTCGCTGTGGGCGCCCGTCTCGGCAGCGGCTGGGCCCACGAGCTTGCTGCCGCGCTGCGCTACGCGGGCCCGGCGGCCGTGTCGTCCTGGCTGCCCGCTGGCTTCCGCGCGGAACCGGAGTTCGTCGCCTCCCATCTGCACCGGGTGCTCTGGCTCGACCTGGAGCCGGGCTCGCAGTGCTGCGCCGCGAGCCAGTGCGGCCTGGAGCGGGAGGGCATGGCCCAGATCGCAGAACGGGTCAATGCCCCCGCACGGATCGCGGAGTGGCTCGCGGGCAGCGGCGGCGACGTGCCAACCTCTGACAACTTCGAGTGCGCGGCGCGGGCGGAGAGCTTGGCGGGCGCGCTGGGCCCGGATGCTGCGGCGGAGATGGCTGGCGTGCCCGAGCCAGAGTTGGCGGCGCTGCTCGTGGAGTGCCGTCGGTGGCACGCCTGGTTTGAGGCCCTTGCCGGCATCCGCGCCCAGGGTCGCCGGGGGGAGGCGTACCTGGTGGTGGAGGGCCATGCGGCCTGCTGCCACGGCCTCCAGGCCATCCTGGGCAGGTGCCTGGAGGAGCTGGACAGGCTGGTTCGGTGCTCGTCGTGGGGACCTTCCTGGGGCCCACCTGACAGATCTGTTCGACTCAAGTTCCACTCAAGCTCGACTCAGGTTCGGTTCAGACTCGGCCCGACTCGACGAGCGTTCGACGCAGCTTCGACGCACGAGTGGAGCGAGGGGCTCCAGGCAGGTCCCCAGAATGAGCATCTAAGGCTGGACGCAGGGTGGGAGGTGCTGCAGGTCGGCTTCGTGCGCGTTCGCAGCTCGGTAAAGAGCCCGGCGGTGGCAGGCGGGCGCGCGGCCGAGCCGCTGAGGCTGACCGGCTGCGCGGGCCTGGTGGTGCGAGGGCCAGAGGTCCGCATCGTCTAAGTGATCCGTATCCCCACTAGGCCATGGCATTTCAGCCCCACCACCCAACCCTACCAGGTGGGGATAGGTCCCGCGAAGCCTGGAGGGAACCGCACATATTCCCACCTGGGGGGCCAAGTCGGCCCAGTGGGGCCAAGGCCATGCCAACTGGGATAGGGATCGGCTTGAGCGACGCCCAAGAGGGCGCGCGCAGCCTCCTCTCGCACGCGTTCCCGAGGCTGTCGGGCGAGCGCTTCGACATCCGGCTGAGGCACTGCTACAGCCGTGTCCGCTTCTACTGCTCGCGCGTGCCGCTGGTGGCCGCGCCCCCGCCCCCCGGCCCCGATCCGGATCTCCGGAGGTTCGCGCCCGAGGCGGCGGAGGAGGTGCTGAGCGCTTGGCGCCAGCAGGCCGAGCGGACGCTGGCGGCCGCGACCGTCGACCTGCAGCAGGCGCAGGGATAGCATGGCCCCTGCTGCTGTCCGACCCCTTTCTGCTCGGCATGGGCCAGTTTCGATGGACGCTGGTTTCGCGGGCCACTGGTTTCGCCGACGGCTGGTTTGGCTGGGTTTGGTTTCGCCGACGGCTGGTTTTGACGGGGCTGATGGAACGATTTTTGCTCCTGGAGGCCCTCTTGGGACGCCTCTTGGGGGCTTCTTGGGACGCCTAGGGGGCCTTGGGCTGTCTAGAGGCCAGCGTGGGTGGTTTGGATCGATCTTTCGGCGACTCGTGGCCCTATTGGACCGTCCGGGGGGCCTCTTGGAGCCCTCTTGGCCCGTTTTGGGGCCCTCTGTCCCCCCGTGGCGCGTTTGACCAGGCTTGGGGGAACCCCCCCTCCAGATCGACCAGACCAGGCTCTGGAGGAAGGGCTTTGGGGTGGGGGAAGCATCTCGCACGCCGATGCACCCCCAGGGGTCGGCGGATGTTCTTCTAGCGTCGACACCCAGAGGCCTCGACCCATTCCCCGAGGCGTTTTTTGACGGTCCCGGGGCCCGGCGAGGTCTCCAAGGGGCCGAAGGCGACAGCAACAATTCCCGCCGTGATTTTGTCACGACCCGAGCAGACGGGTACACCTTAGGCGATGCTTAAGAAAACTTAAGTTTTCGGCCAGAGTCTCGATTATTCTTAATGTTTCAATGTAAATCCTAAGATTTGAATGGACATTCTGGGTTTTTATTTAAGTTCTGAGACTATCAATTTCTTAACCCATGATTTCTAAAGCATTTCGCAGGGTGTAGGGTCCGGCCGCGCCCGAGAGGCGACCGCGAGCTTGGAGGGCACCACGGGCACGGCGGCGGGTGGGCCCCCCTCGGCCCGCCGAGCGTGGCCCGGCGAGGGCCAGCCCGCCCCAGCGGCCAGAAAGGCGCCCCGGGGGAAGAGACGGGTCAGAGGTAGGAGGAGGGGGAAGGAGGAGGAGGAGGGGGAAGGAGGAGGAGGAGGAGGAGGAGGAGGAGGAGGAGGGGGAAGGAGGAGGAGGAGGAGGAGGAGGAGGAGGAGGAGGAAGAGGAATAATAATAATAAGAAGAAAAGAAGCATACGAATAACAACAATACTACTACGAATGATAATAATAACAATAATACTAACACTAAGAACAATAATAATAAGAATAATAATAAGAAGAACAATTAAGAATACTAATGATAAGAATAAGAAGAAGAGGATAAGGATGAGGAGGAGGAGGGGGGGGGAGGAGGAGGAGGAGGGAGGAGGAGGAGGAGGAAGAGGAATCATAATAATGGAAATAATAAGAAGAAGCGAAATAATAACAATAATACTACTAATACTACTATACTTATACTTATACTTATACGAATAAGAAGAAGAAACATAATAATAATGACAATAATAATAAAAAGAAGAAGAATAATAATAATGAGAATAAGAAGACGAAGAAAAATAAGAGGAAGAGGAGGAGGAGGAGGAGGAGGAGGAGGAGGAGGAGGAGGGGGAGGGGGAGGAGGAGGAGGAGGCGGAGGCGGAGGCGGAGGCGGAGGCGGAGGCGGAGGCGGAGGCGGAGGCGGAGGCGGAGGAGGAGGAGGAGGAGGAGGAGGAGGAGGAGGAGGAGGACGAGGACGAGGGGGAGGAGGGGGAGGAGGGGGAGGGGGAGGGGGAGGGGGAGGGGGGACAAGCTAGGTGCACTCGCGTCATATCTGACATCCTACCCCTCCCTCCCATCCCTTACCATAGCGCAGATCCCCTCTCTACTCGCACAGTCGGATGTCGAGCAGGGCAATGATCCCGAAAGGGTACGCGATGCATTGTAGAGCACGGCATGGCATGGCGTAGAAGAGCACCGCGAAGCGTAGTATCAACCTAGCATTGCATTGCATGCCGTGGCATGGCACGGGAAATGACGCCAGCGCTGCAGCGGGAGCACGAGTCGAAACGAGAGGAAGCGCGGAAATGAGGCCAGCGCTGCAGCGGGAGCACGATTCGGAACGAGCGGGGCCCGAAAATGAGGCCGGCGCCTCAGCGAGAGCAGCATTTTGGAAAACATGCAGGCGAAAACCCAACTCCGGGGAAACCTGTGTGTAAAGAAACAAGACGCGGGGGGTGTCGAGCACTTTCAAACCGTCATCAGGGGAAGAGGGAGAGTAGTATTCATATTGAGTAATTGTGGAGGGGGAGGGGGAGTGGGAGTGGTGCAGGGGGTGGCAAGGTCGTGGAAGGGTCGATGTAAGGCCATGGAGGGTTGCCGCTTGCGGCCTGAACCAGGCCAAGGTTGAACGATCTCCGCTGTCGGACGGCGTAGGTCGCTCAGTGTTGAGCGAGCTACGTGGTGCCAGAAACCACCGTCCACCGTGACACGACAGGAATCATTCGTATTTTGGTAAGGTGCCAAAGATGGCCCGCGGAGAGACCTTGGATCC